AGCCCCTTTCCGGGGCTACTGCCGGTCCCAAGACCGGATAAAGGAGGAGGGTTGGGCATGGGGTTGGCGACCCCATCCTGTAGAAAACTAACTCGCTAAAAAACGCTAACCAGAAAAAATTATTCAAACCATTTAAACTCTGCCCTGGTAGTTAGAAGGTCTTCGTTTAGAAGAATTACGACGCTTCAAGATGAAAGCCGAGTTTCTTCGGAAGTCACGAGGCCGATGCCCCTTCTGACAACTAGAGCAACCATTTATTTAGGTACATAGAATGCTCGCACAATGTGGGAGACTGGGAGAGTTTTCCAAATTGCTGCAGAAATGAGGAGATACAATTGGAGGTGCTTGGGATCAGTGAAACACATTGGACGCAAGTTGGACAGCAACGACTAGCTTCAGGGGAGCTGCTGTTATACTCCGGACATGAACAAGAAAATGCTCCACATACACAAGGAGTTGCATTGATGCTGTCCAAACAAGCACATGATGCACTTATAGGATGGGAATCTCATGGACCAAGGATCATCAAAGCCTCCTTCAAAACCAAGAAAACGAGGATTACAATGAACGTCATCCAATGCTATGCGCCTACCAACTAATACAACGAAGACACTAAAGATCAATTCTACGATAGGCTGCAGTCAATCGTCAAGAAGTGCCCAACAAAAGACCTGACTATTCTGATGGGAGACCTAAATGCCAAGGTTGGAATTGACAACACCGGATATGAAGAGATCATGGGACGACACGGACTCGGAGAAAGGAACGAAAATGGTTAGAGATTTGCAAATCTATGTGCCTTCAATAAACTGGTCATAGGCGGGACTATATTTCCACATAAGCGCATACACAAGACCACATGGACTTCACCGGATCACACCACACAGAACCAAATCGACCATATCTGCATCAACAAAAAGTTCAGGAGGACGATGGAGGACGTGAGAACAAAGAGAGGAGCTGATATAACATCAGATCATCACTTGCTGGTCGCCAAGATGAAATTGAAACTCAAGAGGCACTGGACAACGGGGCGGACAATATCACAAAAATTTAATACGGCTCTTCTTCGGGATAATGACAAACTCAATAAATTCAAGATAACCCTCAGCAATAAGTTCCAAGCCTTTCATGATCTACTCAATGGAGAAGGAACTACTATGGAGAGCAACTGGAAAGAGATAAAAGAGGCAATCACTTCAACATGTCATGAGGTTCTGGGCCAAAAGAAGCACCATCACAAGGATTGGATCACAGTCGATACACTGGATAAGATTCAAGAAAGGAGGAACAAGAAAGCAGCAGGCCCATCTTTTCATTGTATCTGTCTTTGTCTGATCATTTTCCCTTGAATCTTCACTCATTCCCTTAAAAGTATTAGATTTTTCTTCAGCCTAAAAATTTGTTCCTGATAACTCATTTTGTTTGGAAACACACACTTCATCTTATGCTACAGTGCGATACTGCTACGATATTGTGCCAACATTCTACCGGCCTAGACTATGAAATGTGAAATTTCGAACAATCAGATATGGAATTTACTGTTTGCATTAGATGAAAACAATGGAAACGAGCAATAAATAAATGAAGGTCGTGATGATAAATTCATATGAGAATTCAAACATTAGCCCTAACATATTTCTCACTAACTGAGGACTATTACGCCGTTGCAATTCATCACACGTTTAATCAATCCTAACATAACTGCTTGCTGGACAACTACCAGTGGTTTGGGACCTGTTGAACGTGAAGAATTATTACGTGATACGGACGGTAAAAATACTTATCAATGTCAAGAATGACATGAGTCTCTTGTGTCTATCTTTCATTAGTTTACTGCCTTTAAATTTATTCTATTGGCGTACACCAATTTCATTTTGTTATTGATTGCCTTATCCAGAACTTCTATATCCCTATACTTTCTACCTGCTTTAATAAACATTTTTCCACTATTACACGTTCCTAAATGTTTATAATTTGCTTGGAAAACCATATTTCGTACTATAGCAATTTACAGTACTGCATTGATGCCTAAACCACAGTTCATAAGTTACAACTGTCCGCTAGGCTTGTAACATGAAGCTTGAGGAAAAGGCGTTTTCCAACAGGATGTGAAACATGGAGGTTTAAATGAAACATAATATATTATCACTCGAAATCAGCCTAATAACACAATAGGTGAGGTGGGGTCATAGACCAAGAAACACTGATAATGAGGCGATGATTTCAATCCATTCATGTTTGTTGGGCAGAACATCTTATTTACTCCAAGATTTTATCACTGAGGATATGGCAGCCAATCAGTCTGAGGCTGTTCTCTTTCGCTTTTAACTTCTTAGACTCAGGTTTCTAATTTTGTTGAACTCGCTATGACATAGGACTTGTTTACCCAGGTTCATATGACATAACCTAAAGTATGAAATTCGATATACAAGAATGGCAAAAGATATTATACAGTAAATAATAAATTTATTAGTGTTTCTACAGTCTTTACTATCTTTCAGTGATCCTTCGACTTTAAAGGAAGACCTCACAGCTCTTAACTTTAACTTATCCACTTTAAGGCTCATTCCACTTTTCCGTCCGTCACAATTCAGTGTTCTCTTTTAATGTATTCCCTTATTTGGACACCATTAAACTACAAATCGTTTCGGTTATGGAAGATAGTGTGAGTTTTATCTACTGATTTAGTACACATTTTACTGATCCAATACAAACTGTTAAGGATTGTTGAGATTTTATGTCCAATTACTTCGGTTCCCTTTTTTCACTTTTCAGTGCACACACGGAGCTTCTTATTGAGCCTGATATGGAAACCCTACATACGGGCTAGTAAGGATCACGGATCAGTCGTTACTTTTTAACAACCGCGAACTTACTAAACAGCTAAATTGTAGTGGCATTAAGCCCTAACCACATAATCCTCAAAGCTGAACACGAGACAACTGGGAAAATAGATATTCAACATTTAACGCGGAGAAAAACCCAACAGTGGTGAAAAAGGGAAGAATTGCATTCAATTCTATTCACCGGATGGCATGGCTCAGCCTTGCAGGTGTGGTCATTCTTGTGTGTTATCTTATCTCTTTTATTCATATTAAATATATTGTTCTATCTCCAGCGTAAATGTGTTCTTCATCATATATTGGTGATTGTTACAATACGATGAGTCAGTGTAGACAATGATGTGACGTCCACGTAAGATCTTATAAATTAGGCAGTTGCATCAGACAAATCTACAATTTTAGGATTAGGTCCATCATTAGAACCATACTAATAACGAAGCAAATCAAAATTCTTGAAAATCACAATTTCGTAAAAGTAAATCTTCATGAGCATTCATTTGAACCGCTCTTTGTTTAATAATCCTTATTTTGTTAACTTTGCTCAGCATTCGCTCTATATATAAACACTTATTACAAACCTCATTGTATCCATTGATTATACTTGCATCCAGAAATATATATTGTTGTGGTTTGTCGACCTCATTCTATACCAGAGAGCTAAATGAAACTGTTAGAAGTATTACGAGTCCTCCCCATCATAGTACAATAGATGTATTTTATCCGTTTAATTACCTCGTTATGGCGCTTGAGAACCTCACCTGTTTATACAAGAAGTTTTTTAATAAGTGTAGTTCAGTAACGATTATTTTTGTTCATATCTGGTCCACTGACCACTGGATGGTCCTAATAATCTCTACTTCGGCAGTCGACCACCAACCAAAACTGAGCGGCAATTTCCATTGAGTTAACGTGTGGCCTCGAAATGATCATTTTGAACACATGTATTATGGGGAATTAAAGGTGATAAACTCAGTAAAGCATACAGAATTCTAAGTGGAATGGTTTCAAAGTATGACACTTAGAATCTAATCGCCTTTATCAGAATAGGAAGAATTAGTGAGGCTTCAATTTATTATCTGCATGCTAACTGACAGAACATATGAAAATACTAAGTATGTCAATCTTCAGATGTGTTTAGTATGAAAGATGGTACACAATCCCCCTATAAAATGTATAGTACTATCTGAGTACTATAGCTTTCCTGTTCTTTCGCATAGCTACCATTACTTCTTGGGATTAGGGGTGAGTTGAAAGGTAATGTATGGTATGCGGTTTCTCGACAAAATATAGATGTCCCAACAGGGCTTTGACACTAATGATCTAGTCCATTCACGTTAACACTTATGTTCAAGCATCCAACAGCTTATTAGGGCCCGTAAAACTTGACATGTTTTCATTTATAAAAAAGCCAAGTTTGTTGGTTTTGAAATCAAGTCACTTGTGAGAACCTGAATTGTCAATACACAGAAAGCTAAGGACAATAGTGTATCACTTGTCGTTCCTATTCGGTTGCCTTGTAAATTTGTCCATTCTTATCGACTTACTCGCTTATTTCTGTTATCCCCCTTGGAGGATCACAGACCACCCGCCAGCGTTCCCCATCCAACTCTGTTCTGGGCAATCCTTTCCTTATGTTTTCAGTTGCTATTCATCTTGAAAAGAAAAATAATATAACCGGGAGCAAAGAGAAGGCGACCAAAAATTACTGAGATAGGTCTTGCATACGTTTCATACATACTCATTTTATACCCCTCCCAATATGAAATCCACATTTGTTCTTTTGCACAGTATAGTTCTGTCTAATTTGTTTTCTTCGTAGTGTACTATTTTATGGTATATGTATCCTTATTCAAATACCCTGTCGTTTCGGTATTTAAAAACTAATGTGCACGTGGTGATTACTGTACTCCATGCAGGGTTTGTACTTTGATGTATCATATTGGCCTTTATGACAACTGTTTCTTGGATCAAAATAAGCGAGGGTTCTGAAGTAATGATTGGCATGCTTATTTCTTTGAAAGGAAACAGAAAACATCGTTGATGAACTATGATAGTTGGAAGATATAAAAACTCCAATACTATCTAGTCACAAAAACCCTGGATTATGAAGAGTGTATTGTTTAAAATAGTTTACTTGTCCAGTGGGAAAAGAGTAGCACAAAACGTATCAAGGCTATCCGCAGCCCCCTTCAAGGTCAGCATATTTGTATTGCTCGTCATTGTCCTTGTATGCTTTTAACTTACCACAATGTGCAGTTTTTGACCGAGGATCTAATGACACAAGTTAATATTTTAGTGTCTCGATGATATTGCTTTTTATTTAGTGTTGTAGTTTAAAGTTTCCTATGTCTCCAGCCGTGAGGAAATAATGAGACTTTGTCCTTTTTGTCTCCCAGCTGGAGTATCTGCTTTTCGCCTTAGTATACACATAGCCATCTGCCGGTAGGGCTCCACTGCTACATCGATTTTACTATTCAGAATCTTAGTAACCGTTTTTTGAATTCTGGAATTTAACAAGAACGATGCTTTATAATAATTTCACATCCATATTTTTTGTTACCAACAACTAACAGCATAAAGTGTTCGTTAACACTAAAAACCGCCTATAGAAAAGCATTCAACGGTTATTATCTTGCTATAACTTACATTCTTTTCTTTCTCTGAGTTTGTCTCTCATGTCATAGAAATGATCTTACACTGGCATATCAAGATTTTGCAGGGTCTTTTTCTGTGATGCTTAATGGTAAAAACCATAGTGCTAGTGCTCCCAATGATTAAAAACAAAAACGTACACTTCTCGTATGCTGCCATAATACTTGCACCTTTGAAATGCCCTTATATATATAGTACCAAGTAGCGACTTCAGGTTTAATGATGTAGCGCATGGAGGTTTTCAAGTTACCATCCATTATTCACATCACTATGACCATCTAAATTGTGAAGTAATAATCCAATACATTCAGTGGAACTACGGATTTGTCCATGTCTTCTTGCTTGCTTATCGTGATGACCCAACCGAGCTATATTGGCTGGAACATATGTTCCTGTAGGTTCTACCACGCCAGGCAGATCGATTGGGACCGGTAAGGCTAAAAGCAGCAACTCAAGGTCTGAGGGCGAAGTCGTACTGCTGACTGTAGAGGGGTGTGACAACAGTGAGGTGTTTCCCTCGGACAACCAGCATCCGCAGCGATGCTGCCGTCTCACAAGGAAGGAGGAGGCTAGAAAAGGTCAACGCTAAAAACGTCACATCTCACCTTACCTCACGGATTTCCGTCTCCGTTGGTAAGGCCCTTTAAAGGACGGAGCTAGCACATTAAAAACCTCCCACGGACAACAGACTTCCTTAGCTAGGACTTTAGAATCTCGCGCTATCGATGTGTGCTGCGTCTCCGAAACGCACATACAGGATCCGAGTAGCGTCATTCATTTGACCTCACCATGTCAAAATAAAGAACCATCTCGATTCACACTTCGTGTATCTGGAAGTCCTGATGCTGCTTCCCGTGGCCTCGCTGGCGTAGGTATAGCATTGAGTCCTAGGGCAGAACTAGCTCTCTTAGATCGGATCCCAGTAGACAGTCGTTTGTGCTCTGTCCGACCAAAACGTAACAGTAAGGACTCGGAAAGATAGGGACATTCGTCGTTGCTTCTTCGTCGTCTCTGCCTATTCTTCCACTGACTGCAGCTCAGATGATGTAAAAAATCAGTTTTACAGAAAGTTTTCCGACCTTCTCCGAAAAGCTAGGTGCTCTGATGCAGTAACAGTGGCTGGTGACTTTAATGCTCAAGTCCACAAAATCTACGTGAATTCTAGACCATTGATTCACATTTTCTCTAATAATACTAGCTTCTGTCCACCAATCAGTTTTAACTTTTTTGGACCCTTGTTACTCACTGTCAGTCAGAAACAACGTGGAACTTCGTACGTACGTACATCAGTTCGAGTTGCCATACCACATTAGCACAGAGATTAAGTTATCAATTCAAATCCCGTAGTGGTAGAGGTAGTGAAAGTATAAGTAGTGACAGGGAACATTAAGGTTTGATGATGTTACTCACTGTTCACTGTATAATATTGCTAAAGTTACACACAGTTCATAAAATTTAAGACTAACGAAACATCTGAAATATCCTATCATCCTTCGTGCTTCATGAAGCTCAGTGCAATCTAATCAAAGCTATAAATTGTGTTTATTTCGGTTTTTATCCTTATTGATTTACGAATGTTTTAGCTTTTTTGTCTTGCTTCCCCCTGGAATATATCTTAGTCAAAATTATTACTATCAGTACATCACACAAAAAAGTTGTGATAACCAGCGGTATGTACTCTTTTGTTCCGAAAGAATATCATGGTATGAATCACTTGTATTTGGGGACTTCTGATTTTGCCTGACTATAAAACGTAGTGTGGGCTTAAACTTGGGATCCAGTTGTTACTCACTTACATGTACGTTTTAGAAATAATTGTTAGCAGACACAATGTTTTACATAAATTTTTCCGTTTGAAATGTATTTTTCAGTATTTCTATGCCAATGCAGGTGACGAAAATTGTTTCGAAACATCGACCAAGGTATAGACAAGCACGCATTGTCTTTCCGTTGCTTCTTCCAGTGTTATTTGGCATCGCATCACTACATCCAATCGCTACTGTGCTTACCCTTCTTTTATGTTTGGTCGCATGTTTTAATGTCGTTATTGTAGTCGCTCCACCCACTTGTCCTTTAGAAGATACCTTCTTTTTCTACAGATCGTCTGATAGCTATGACGGGTTTCTAAGGTAGGTGTTGCAATATAATTTCCTTGAGCTGATATGGTATTTTAACGTGGTTGCATTACCAGTAATCTGTTTCTATGTGAATACCATCAATGTATTTCAGTAGTATGTGACTGCTGTCCATTTATATTCTGCGATCAAATGATTACCTTATTTGTATAATCCAGTACCTAGTAAATTTCACAAATTTATATGACCTGTCTTAGTACGTTTTAAATGTCTTTATTTCCATTATTTCAGTGAATATGTCCGTCACATCTGTTTCCTTGTGAAACATATAATACACAAAGTATCTGTCCATTAGTATCAGGTCTTATGTCATGGGTAAGCAAGTGACCTTCAAAGTTGATATCCTACGATCATTTATAACATTGAATTATGTTCTTTTTCTGCCAATGATTTGTATATAAGTACGTTATTTTATCAGAGAAAAAAATTTACTATTTTGGCTGGAGTTTATCCCTTCAATGTCAGTTCGTCTATGGTTTTGGACAAACACCTCGTTTTTGCGTGTAGTCATCACTCATCTATATCGCATCATTAGGTTTACCTATTTCAATCGGTCACTTACAACGTACTACCAGCCACATATATGCATCGGTCCAAGTTTCCATGCCTCATTAGCACAGCAAGACGAACACCGGATTCATAAAAGCTGTTAACTCAATGGTGTAATATATAAAAGAATGGTCTTACATAAGGATATAGTACAGAAAGAAAGAAATACTTCGTAGAAAGAAACATATGAAGTAATTTTATTCTCATAGTTTAAGGGAAGATAAAGAGTGTATACACCGACGCCAATGTGATCGATTCTGAGCCATGTCACCTAGGGTCTCCAACCATTGGTTGCGATAGTCGCGTGGACCCCAACGAGGTAGCCTACATCCACCGACACGGCTCAGACTATAAGCTAGTGACTTTATGGACTGATGCCACATTTTGGTTTGGTCGCCCCTAACTTTCTTCCAATCATCCCTAACACCGGTTAGCAGTGCGCGTCGTGGTAATCGGTGTTCATGCATATGCAACACATGGCCCAACCATCTCAGTCGATGAAAATTCACAACCTCATCAACTGATTTACCATCATTCCCAAATACCCTGTGTCTAACCTCACTATTATTTACCCGATGATCCCAGCAGATGTGGGCAATATTTCTAAGACATATGTGATCAAACACTAGTAACTTACGAGTATCTTCTACTCTTAATGGCCACGTCTCGCAGCCGTAAAGTAGAACAGAACGAACTGCTGTACAGTATACTCGTCCCTTAATTGGTAGACGGATATCTCGCCTTCGCTATAGGTGACGTGAGTTGGCGAAAGCCAAACGATCTTTTCGAACCCGTACAGAGATTTCGTCAGACACCAACCCACTACGGCTAATCAGACTTCCAAGATAAGTGAAGTTGTCAACGCGTTCGACTACTTCACTCCCTATCCTTAGTTCAGGTGTTGACGCAGATCAGTCCTGAAGCAACAACTTGCATTTAGAGGGAGAGAAGCGCATCCCAGACATCCTGGCATTGTTGCTCAGTGCTACCAAAAGACTCTGCATTTTCTCAGCGTCTTCACCAAACAGGACTATGTCATCTGCATATTGTAAGTCGATAAGTGGACCTCTTGGAAGGAGCTCAATACTCGAGAATTTAGTCAACGAGAACGTTATTTCCATCAGTAGGTCTATGATGAAGTTAAACAAAAATGGAGAAAGTGGACAGCCTTGAGGGTCACCACTTGAGGTCGCAAAGTCAGATGACAGTTCGCCATAAGCTCTGACTCTACTGGTAGTGTTCGAGTTAAGAGCCTTCACAAGGTTTATGTACTTCTGAGGTACAACTTTCAATGACAGACACTGCCACAGAATCTCGCGGTCTACAGAGTCGAATGCTACTTTTAAGTCAAGAAAAACTATCATTGTCGGACGCCGATAAGTATACATGAGTTCTAAAACCTGACCAATGGCGAATATGTGGTCGATACAGCTAGAATCAGGTCTGAAGTCAGCCGTATTTTCTGGTGTTTACAGTTCACAAGTGTTTCTTAGGCGCCCGATAATTATTGAGGTTAGTATTTTAGATGCTACATTAGTCAAACTAATCCCTCTATGGTTATCACAGGATGATTTTAACCCCTTCTTATATATCGGGACAGTAAATGATTGCGACCAGTCAGATGGGATTACGTCCAACTCCCATATTTTAGCTAAACTATTAGTTATCCTAATCGCTAAGACTAGACTATCATCCTTAAAGACCTCTGAAGTTAATCCATCTGGATGATGTTTAGTTGTAGAGTAGCTGAAGGTCAGCGGAATTGCTTTTTAAAGTATTCCACCCATCGTTCTATGCGTCTGGCCTGGGAGCAAATAAGTGCCGTCTTCTTCCGAGATAGTCTCACTTACATTTGCATTTTTTGGGTTGACCTTTTCTAAGCCCACCCTTCCTTTGTGGGAACGCAGCGTCGCTGTTATACTGGTTGTCTGAAGGAAACACCTTACTGCCGTCACATTCCTGTACAGTCAGAGTACAACTTCGCCTTTGAACCTTGGGTTTGCTGCTTTTAGTCTTACCGTTCTTCAAGCGACCTGTCTGGCATGGTAGGACTTTGAGGAACGATTGTTTCAGCCACTATAGTTCGATTGCTTTATCACGATAAGCAAGGCCGACCACCAAGTCAAGGTAGCAGGAAAAATAGTTCACTATTCATATTTAGTCTTAACCCAGAAGCGTGGTGATCGTGAATGAACCATCTACCATAAATATTGATTGTAAACGTTGAACGATAGGTGTAAATTCGAAGGATCGACATTCAAATAGTCATAATTGCAAAGTAGAAATAGTAAACTACCGTATATATCTCCCTTTAAGTAGTTTATCTTTAGAATGCATTGATAAGTAATATTAGATAACTCGACCTACATACCAAGGGAAAAGATATTGAAGGAGTAGATATCATTGAGATTATCTAGAAAAAGGGCGTAACAGTTACTATCAATCCAGCAAATTAAATAGATTTTTATCCTGACCGTAGCTGTTACCTTGATGTGGTGGTCGGTCTTGCCTATCGTGATGACTCGACCAAACCATATTGGCTGGAACACATGTTCTCTTAGGTCCTACCATGCAGGCAGGTCTGTTGGGGAACTGTAAGAATAAAAGCAGCAACTTAAGGTTCGAGGGCAGTCATACCTCTGACTGCAAAGCGGTGTGATAGCAGTTTCTCTTAGACAACCAGTGTTTTCAGTTGTGCTTTCCGTTAACAGCAGAAGGGTAGGGTTAAAAATGATCGACCCTAAAAATGTCACTCCTCACCGTACCCCACAAATTTCCATCTCCGACGGTAAGGCATTTTAAGATGCGGAGCTAACTTATCAAAAATGTATCGTGCGCGACTGACCTCAATCTGTTGTCCCTTGGACTCTGTGGTTACGCTAACGGGTCTCCGAGATCACCACTAACCCGGATCCTTTACAGGTCCGTCAATGAGAAATATCTTTACATGGTGTAAGTAGCCAGGAAGTGACAACCGTCCTCATACCCTTAACGGTACCCCAAAATAATTTAATTCATGATAAAACCCTTCCCTCATTTCCTAATACTTCCCGTGTCCCCACGACTAACCATTCTCGCCTAATCTTTGAGCATCATAATAATATCCTAATTACAAATTTATCTAACTCCGCCTGGAGCCCCTTTCCGGGGGCTACTGCCGGTCCCAAGCCCGGATAAAGGAGGAGGGTTGGGCATGGGGTTAGCGACCCCATCCCGTAGAAAACTAACTCGCTAAAATACGCTAACCAGAAAAAATTATTCAAACCATTTAAACTCTGCCCTGGGAGTCAGAAGGTCTTCGTTTAGAAGAATTATGACGCCTCACGATGAAAGCCGAGTTTCTTCGGAAGTCACGAGGCCGATGCCCCTTCTGACAACCAGAGCAACCATTTATTTAGGTACATGGAATGCTCGCACAATGTGGGAGACTGGGAGAGTTTTCCAAATTGCTGCAGAAATGAGGAGATACAATTTGGAGGTGCTTGGGATCAGTAAAACACATTGGACGCAAGTTGGACAGCAACGACTAGCTTCAGGGGAGCTGCTGTTATACTCCGGACATGAACAAGAAAATGCTCCACATACACAAGGAGTTGCATTGATGCTGTCCAAACAAGCACATGATGCACTTATAGGATGGGAATCTCATGGACCAAGGATCATCAAAGCCTCCTTCAAAACCAAGAAAACGAGGATTACAATGAACGTCATCCAATGCTATGCGCCTACCAACTAATACAACGAAGACACTAAAGATCAATTCTACGATAGGCTGCAGTCAATCGTCAAGAAGTGCCCAACAAAGGACCTGACTATTCTGATGGGAGACCTAAATGCCAAGGTTGGAACTGACAACACCGGATATGAAGAGATCATGGGACGACACGGACTGGGAGAAAGGAACGAAAATGGTGAGAGATTTGCAAATCTATGTGCCTTCAATAAACTGGTCATAGGCGGGACTATATTCCCACATAAACGCATACACAAGACCACATGGACTTCACCGGATCACACCACACAGAACCAAATCGACCATATCTGCATCAACAAAAAGTTCAGGAGGACGATGGAGGACGTGAGAACAAAGAGAGGAGCTGATATAGCATCAGATCATCACTTGCTGGTCGCCAAGATGAAATTGAAACTCAAGAGGCACTGGACAACGGGGAGGACAATATCAAAAAAATTTAATACGGCTCTTCTTCGGGATAATGACAAACTCAATAAATTCAAGATAACCCTCAGCAATAAGTTCCAAGCCTTACATGATCTACTCAATGGAGAAGGAACTACTATGGAGAGCAACTGGAAAGAGATAAAAGAGGCAATCACTTCAACATGTCATGAGGTTCTGGGCCAAAAGAAGCACCATCACAAGGATTGGATCACAGTCGATACACTGGATAAGATTCAAGAAAGGAGGAACAAGAAAGCAGCAATCAATACCAGTCGAACAAGAGCAGAAAACGTCAAGGCACAGGCTGAATACACAGAAGTAAACAAGCAAGTGAAAAGGAGCATCAGAACTGACAAACGTGAATATGTAGAAGATTTGGCATTGACGGCGGAAAAGGCTGTCAGAGAAGGAAACATGAGACAACTGTATGAAACAACAAAGAAACTCTCTGGAAATCACCGTAAACCAGAACGACCAGTGAAAAGCAAGGAAGGCAAGATAATCACCAACATTGAAGAACAACGAAACAGGTGGGTAGAACACTTCAAAGAACTCTTGAATCGACCAGCCCCACTGAACCCACCCAACATCGAAGCAGCACTCACGGACCTCCCAATTGATGTTGGCGCACCAACAATTGAAGAGATCAGCATGGCTATCAGACAAATCAAGAGTGGCAAAGCAGCAGGACTAGACAGCATTCCAGCAGAGGCACTGAAAGCAGACGTAGCGGCAACTGCAAGGATACTCCACACTCTCTTCAGAAAGATCTGGGATGAGGAACAGGTACCAAAAGACTGGAAAGAAGGACTTCTAGTCAAAACACCAAAGAAAGGCGACCTCAGCAACTGTGACAACTACAGGGGAATCACTCTTCTTTCAATACCAGGAAAAGTCTTCAACAGGGTATTGTTAAACAGGATGAAGGACTCCGTAGACGCCCAACTTCGAGACCAACAGGCAGGATTCCGTAAGGATAGATCGTGCACAGACCAAATCGCAACTCTACGGATCATTGTGGAACAATCAATTGAATGGAATTCATCACTCTATATCAACTTCATCGACTACGAAAAAGCATTTGATAGCGTGGACAGAACAACCCTATGGAAGCTTCATCGACACTACGGCGTGCCTCAGAAGATAGTCAATATCATACAGAATTCCTATGATGGATTAAACTGCAAAATCGTGCATGGAGGACAGTTGACAAAGTCGTTCGAAGTAAAGACCGGTGTCAGGCAAGGTTGTTTACTGTCACCCTTTCTCTTTCTCCTGGTGATCGACTGGATCATGAAGACATCAACATCTGAAGGGAAGCACGGGATACAGTGGATAGCTAGGATGCAATTGGATGATCTAGACTTTGCAGATGATCTGGCTCTTCTATCGCATACGCAACAACAAATGCAGGAGAAGACAACCAGTGTAGCTGCAGCCTCAGCAGCAATAGGTCTCAATATACACAAAGGGAAAAGCAAGATTCTTCGATACAACACAGCATGCACCAATCCAATCACAATTGACGGAGAAGCTTAGGAAGATGTAAAAACCTTTACATATTTGGGCAGTATCATCGATGAACACGGTGGATCTGATGCAGATGTGAAGGCACGGATTGGCAAAGCAAGAGCAGCATACCTACAACTGAAGAATATCTGGAACTCAAAACAATTAGCAACCAACACCAAAGACAGAATTTTCAATACAAATGTCAAGACAGTTCTACTGTTTGGGGCGGAAACCTTGAAAACCACGAAATCCATCGTCCAAAATATACAGGTGTTTATTAACAGTTGTCTACGCAAAATACTTCAGATCCGCTGGCCGGACACTATAAGCAACAACCTACTGTGGGAAAGAACAAATCAGATCCCAGTGGAGGAAGAAATCAGGAAGAAGCGCTGGAAGTGGATAGGACACACATTGAGGAAAGCACCCAACTGCGTCACAAGACAAGCCCTCATATGGAATCCTCAAGGTCGAAGGAGGAGAGGAAGACCAAAGAATACATTACGCCGGGAAATGGAGATAGATATGAGAAAAATGAACAAGAATTGGATGGAACTGGAAAAGAAGGCCCAGGACAGAGTGGGTTGGAGAATGCTGGTCGGCGGCCTATGCTCCATTGGGAGTAACAGGCGTAATTCGCTCGAAATTCACAAATTTATCTAGACGTGGTAATAAAACGTTCAGTCATAACCATACAAAAGTAAACTTGTCAAACAAAATTTAATTTTTACAATACCCCCCCCTGCTTAGTAATTTGTTTCTATGCGTGTTTTCAAAACCTGAGAAATATTTTGGAATCGGAACATATTTCTTTGTTCCCTTGTTACAATCAAATATATGACGCATTTAGTGATAATAACCAACTTATGAAAAATAGTATTGATTGAAGCTCAATGGCACCGTCAACACAAACAACTGTTTGTCAACAAAGTTTGTAGTTGCGTACAGTTTTTAGAATTGGATGGCAAATAGGGATGTGTAACCACGTTGCACCGTAAAATGTCAACCTGTAGTGCCAACACTGTATTTCAAATTATCACTATTTACGTATTTGTAAGTAAAACATTTCTGTCTTTTTAATATTATGGATAATACATCACATAAAGTCAACAATTATTCCTTGAATTGCATGTGATGGCTATCAAAGACAATTTCATCAGTAGCAATATGTGGCCCGTTGATTATCCGTGATTTATCTGCTAAGTCTTCATATTGTTTGGATTAAATAGTCCCAAGTTGACCAGTACTCCTTTCAATACTGATTCACTTTCACCTGTATCGTTTAACTGTTTCGAAATCAGAAGATCCCTAAATGCCTTGTCTTTTGATATCTTACGATCTACATTATCACCTATCTCTATTAATATGAGGTTCCTTCCAATCCTACAAACAATTCGAATTCAAGAAACATCGTATCTTTCTTGAAATCTCTTTCACTAAGTGGGAACTAGACTTCGGTAGAAAACATTTAAAATATCTGGTTATGAATTCGCATTGTATTTAAAAAACCGATGTAATCTCAATGTAATCGCTAACTTAATCCAACAAGGCTGGCTTCATGTATTACCCCCCATGTTACTGAAAGAGTGGTCGATTAGTATGGTTGTCAACTTAATCCTTGTTTAAAAGCATATGGTCATAGCCTAAAAGCGTCGTAATATGTGATCATGTTTGTTCTCAGGCTTTCTCCTACACCTATTGAGATTGCATCCAAGTTAAGAAAATAATCCGGTGTAGCCAAAAGATCAAATAACATAAGGACGATGATATATTTAAAATACGGACAAATCTGATAACTGTGTTCGTTGGTGCATAGTACTCACTTATAGTCAATGGATGTAGATTCCACATTGAATGTCTCAGTACTAGACACAATTTGGTTCAACAACTACACTTTTAAATCAGTACTTCTGTACACATGAAGACAAATTCAGTAGCATTATACTTGATCTATCACAGCCAGGGATAAGTAGTAATGGCACAAATAGTCATATTGTGTCCAGTTGTGTTAAAATTAAATGAATTCAGTGTTTTTTAAATTACAAATAACTCCATCAGTTGGAATGTTTCATGAGGGTTTCTAATTAATAAAATAATTCCAAGTGAATAACTGCATGTTGATAGGAGTTGTTAAAATTTTTTGACATCACAGAACGCATGTTTAGAATTCACTATTTTACTTCCCCTGTATTGATGACCTATGCCAGATAAGCATTGAATTTGTTAATTTAGTCTCATTGTTTGGGTGGAATGTTGCCACTTTGTTCCAAATACAATGTTTACTGTCATTAACTGTTTTCAGAACAATTCCCTTTCTTTGTGATTACTCATAAGTTTGAGTCACCAACTGAAATGTTCCGGATATATTCGATTCATCCTTACTTGTCATGACAATTGGTGCCAGGAAGTTCGAAAAAATGCAGTGTTCAGACAAAAGCTGCTAGGAACTGGACATATCCTATAGGTTGCATTTATGCCAATTAAGTAAATCCTACCCGCATCACTTGAAAATTTTAGACAACTGGATAGATAATTAACAAATCTTTTTACAACATCCAGTTTTTTATGCCACCTCCCCTTGAATCAATGCAGTTGTACCACATTATTGAGTTAATAACCTCATCAAATTATCTCTTGATATTAGATTTTTTAATTCAGGTTATTCATGTTTCGGTATACCTTTTTATTTGTGTAATCTGATTTGTGGGAAAGTTTAACTACAAATGGGGCAACTTCTAGTGTTTCCCGGCAGTTTTATTTTATTCAACGTAAAACACTTTACGTGCAACATATGTCTAAATGGAATAAGAGCATATGGATTGTAAGCAAATGTGACATTTATTCGTAAACAATTTATGAGTATTGGAAATCCACCAATTTAACTAAAGTCGTTCGTAATTTTGCAAAACAGTGAACCAAATATTGAAGTCTCTAGTTCAAATTCACTGATCAAAAAATTATGTTTTTTTCTATTTCTTTCCACAAAGTGATACTAATGTAATCTACAAATGTTCAGTTACTACTCTTTTGTTATGGTATTTCACAATGCTTATACCTGTAAATTTGGAGAATAAGCTGCTCTATAGAGAAATAATAATGTACAATATTCTCGTTGTGGTTTGCGTACATCTTGTGCAAATTATACGAAATATACATGCACGCAATCTTAATCATACACTCCTATCAAGTTAGTTTGCTTTTATTTTTAATTTGTTACGTAGGTAGATTTAGCTGGAGGAAGATTTCTTTGGCATATATTTGTGGCCATCAAGTAGTTTTAGTGGCACTAATGAAGCAGGTAATATGGAATACAAATCTGTGACCATACGGTTAAAAGCTGAACATTAAAATCACCTCTAATATTTAGCTATAGTTGATGTGTAAACAAAGTATCTATATAATCCGGTGGTCAACCAAAGCATGCTATCCAAACTTTTTTACATTAAGTAGAATATTAGTATAGGTCGGAAGTTATACGCTGGTTAAATGAAAGCCTCTAACGACTGAACTAAACAGTGTGAATAGAGATAAACAATACTTAGACACATTATCATCTGTTGATACAAGTCATCTAAATTTCGTGTATACGTGCGTGGCTTACAGTGAGACCAATACACGGAATTTATTGACAACGAAAGGCTGCTTACCTAAATTGATCGCCTTCAGAAAAGGTTTTATGAAATGCAACGTAGTCCTGGTAGGTGTAAAAGACTAAAGCAATCTAAAACCTCAGTTGTAATGAAGCATCGAGAAGTCTCTCCTTCTAGTATCAAAATCCATTGTAGAACAAATCGACTTAAATAAATAGCTACTTTAACCCACATAATTCGAATGTTATATAAACTGATGGGTTTTAATGGAGTTACACCTTGACAATCTATTTACATACGTCAAAAACTGTGGGATCATTATGTTGACTATAATTACGTGAGATCCTGGGTTGAGATACTCTACTCTAAAATTTGATTTTTGTTCTGTAATTTTTATCCGAAAAATTCCCTTATTTATTACAAAAGAATGTTTCTGTTACGTCAAATGTTTGTTATTAGATTCCCGATATCTTGGAAATAAACCGGAGAAAAATGGAAGTAAGCTCACTGTATTTGGGTTATGGAAACATACTGTACGTATATTTCGTGATACCAATGTGAGTGATGTTTACTTTTTTCCATTGGCATAGTTCAAAGGTCATCAGTTAACTTTTTGAAAGTAGAAATCGTAAAATAACCATTCTATGTTCTAAGAGTAGCTGGTTAGAAAATATTAAAAGTTTCAATGCAACGCACTAGTCTCTATACATGAGCGTATAAGAAACGCATATTGAGATGGTGGAGAAGATTTGTAGCTCAGGTGGATGATTTTGATGGAGTTTTGTTCTGAGCTGGAGAACAAAACTCCATCAAAAAGAAACGCATATATAATATCATCTATATATGTATACATAGAAAGTGACGAAACGCTTAGGAAAATTATATGGGCCAAGTTGAAAATCAAACCATTTAGCAACTATTTCACTTCTTCAATTACATTGCGGAACCATTTACCATTGATTTACTTTGTATAGTATACACATGTTCTTGCGCCGACAAGTAAAGTGATCAGGTCAAATTGATTGGGGTTAGTCGTCACCTAAAAATTAGAATTTTCGAGCTTCACGGGATCACTAATTTAATCTACAGAAGCTATGTTAAACAACGTAGTCAGAAACCTCAGTTACTTGATATTATGATGGAAACACGCTGTTTCGCGTGACAGATATCTGACTAGTTGTTGAATTCCATGTTTAGAATTTCTGAGTGGCGATGCTGTCCACTAGGTTATCACACCCTAAATTTCCTATTGTGAGAACCAATACGGTGTGCATTTTTTTTCACTCGAATTTCGGAGATTATTGCAAATGATATTCATTTCTCCAGTTTGGATGTCGAATCATATGTTCAGACATAATCATTTGTGATATCACTGATTGTTACGTCAATAACACTGCCGCTTTAACATCATTTCGATATACAAATCGATGAATTGTTTAAATGGCCCTCACTTCATAACAGTTTTGTTATCTGATGTACTCACTCATCCATCAACCATATTAGATATATTTGCAAATCTACACCTCACTTGTATTCCATGCCTATCAACCTAAATATGAAGTACTACCGCATAACGTAAACTGGGGTTATTCACATCGTAGGTTAACCAAAGAACTGAATATTGTGGAGTGTGTATGCAACAATCAGATATTAGTCTTCGTAGTTACTTTCAAGTTGACCCAAAAGAAGTCAAAAAACCCATTGTTAATAAAGAAATGATACAATTTGGCACATTATGCAGTTTAAACCGAATCTGTTTAATACTGACTCTTGAAACCCTTACACTTTGTGCACTGCAAAAAATTATGTGAAGAGTTGTGCATTAAATTTATTTTATGAAGTCCTTTTGTTTTTATTGTTTATATATCTCAAGAAACAAAATTTCGAAGGAGATTGGTATTTTTCGTGGATGAATATATTTGTCAGCAAGTCTAATCGAGCTTGGTCCATCGTTTTACTGACTGTTTGTGTTACGCTTACTTTCTACTCTACTAATTTAGCCCTCACATCTGTGTGCACACCAAAAATATACTTCGATTGGTTTTTACTTCCACATGATTGTACCTTCATTTATGATGTTTATAGGTAGGTTGTAAAACAAATTAACTGTTATTGTTTTCTGTGTAAGCAATTGTTTGGAGAGGTAGTTTGCTAATTGCTACTTAATTTCGACTTTCTATCGAAAACTAAGCTAGGATTCACTTTCTATGAACATGTGTGAGCTCGTATATATCATCCGTATTAGGAGTTTCTAAGGCATTGGAAGAACTAGTTTTTTTTTCTAGCTAGTATACGATACATCACTTGAGGGACAAGATTTTTGGACAGAAAAGTTGTGATCTTTAAGCTATAATACTCATTACACTGAATTGTTTAGCGGGCACGCAAGTCGAGTAAATTTTGTAATGCAAGTCGTGTTTATATATATTAAGTCATTTTCTTTCCTTTTTGTCATTTCAGCAGAGCCTGGGTATTTGTTACAGGATTATTTTGGTTAATGACATCTGTTATACCTATAAGTTTTCTTTTTCATGAACTTGCTGTCTATATACGGCGCCGTTCAAAAAACTGGTAGAACTTCTTAACTGTTTATTTAATTACCTTCTTATGCTTTGCATTATTACCCAAAGTTTTGTAACTGAAGTTCTGTGATAACAAATTTTTTTCCATAGTGAACACCACAAAATTTCACATAGTGGCCTATGTATATAATGAATACGATACAAATGTGTTTTTTGTTTCACGTACGGCGGTTAAAATTTTGGAAATGCTTAGTAGTTGTTTAATGAATTTGTGAGTTATTGTTCAGCAAAAGCTCAATAGACAGTATACTTGGGGAGTATATGTCTATTCTTAAAGTCCTTAGATCCTCAACCTACTATAAATCCACCTTCCAAGTTATCAGTGAAATTATTTCAATAAGGCACTTTTTTTAAATTGACACATCTATTCTCTTTATAGATCTCGTGAGAAAACTTGTAGTTATTAATTCTCTTTCGAATCCTTTCAGTCTCTCTGCCAAGTATATGGAAAAAGCAAACTTGAACAACTTGAAAATACGAGGGGACGTTAGTTTAATTGTCATTGGTGTGGCGTCACATCCATCAATAAAGATGGTACTTGACAAAAATGCTAAATTGCATTGGAATAAATCCAGATTTTCCACATGCTAAGATTAGTAGTAAGTCGAAATACATTGTACGAAAAATATGGATGTTCAACCAAAGTGCCTTCAAACTGCTTTGTTGAGTAGTTAACTGGGAACCTCACCATCAATTACTTTCCCATATTCTCGCTGAAGGAGATTCTGTCCAGAACAACTAACTCTGTTCTGAATCACCAAATGCTTTTCCTTAGAAATTTAAAAGTAATACTTGGTAAGCAGCGCTGACGGTGGTGAGACTATAATTTATGGACGACTTTTGAGCGACGCTAAAAAGACCTTGACAATGTCCACGTACATACTACGGCCAAATCAGGGTTATAAGCCAGTGTGGGGAATTACGATTAATATTTGCAGTTGATAGTTAGGGCTAGGAATTAGATTTAAGCTTCTCATCACGAACTGACATCAGCTATAATGCTGAAGCTTTCGCCACATGAATGAATTAATTTTGCGCCAAAATTCAAGACCTGTTATCGTAAATCTGATTGGTTCGTCCACAAATTATAATCTTTCCTGATGGTCTGTTGTTTAAAACCTTTACAATAATGACCGAATGGTAGAGACAACTAGCCAATGAATAACTGCATAGAATAATAGTAAGTCCATCATGAACTACTCCTGATGGTTTGATCTAATATTAAGGAAAACTAGCCAAGAATTTTATGCTACATGTCAGTGAGTAGATCATATCGAATACAAACTTGAAAATCAAACGATAATTATAAAATAATGTCTTTAAGAATACAAAAGATTACTTGCAGGAATAAAAGTATAATCTTTCTAATGGCAAATAATACAAAACTTTATTAATTTAGTGTATTGGGACTGGTCTGCTGAGTTTTACACTGATGAGTGTTAAGTAAGTAGGATTTTTTCTCAATAGTGAACCATACCACAGCATCTTTCGAAGTGTTTCATTGAGTTCTTATTCTTTACAACTTGATTTACCTTCAGTAGTGGTACGGGTTAGCGCAATATAATATGCATTAGTTGGACCTTCCTGAGTATCATGGAAACCCAATGGCCCAAGATCGCAATCAGCACACGTTAGGTAACGAAATGTACTTACGCTATTTGTAAATCCAACATTTTCAAACGCGTACATATCGTTAACACACCAAAATTCTTCAGTTAGCTCCGTAGGGAATTCTTTGGAAGGATTGGATAGTTCCGATTTTTTAGCAAATACGGGCAAGTTGTGCTAAAAAGAACAGGAGAATACTTCTTTATTCAGACTGTTCCAAGAATAGACGTAGTGTTTCGTTGCTGAATGTGAACTGAATAAATAGGAATTTTAAAATTTATTGACTCCGAAATGTCATTTTATTTGTTGCACAGAATGGTGTGTTAAGAATTTGTCCCTTTACTGACGTTGAACACCGACAATAGAACAGCAATTATCTTTACATGATGTAAAACTAGGGATCTTATAAGTCGGTTAACAAAGCATCTGGGAAGCTTGTTAGGCAAGTCTGGTTGCTAACTGTCGACAACCTAGGATCACGATTTTTATGTCTTGTCACAAACGCGATGTTAGCAGATGATGGAATTTTTACACTAAAAAGTAGTACAGTGACAAAATTAATAAATAAGTTTGGACAAACTGAATACACCAAATACTAAGTCGGTTGATGTGACAACCAAGATTACCTATTGACACTGACCTGCTTTTTTCGTACAATGAATAAGAAATGTTATTAAATGCAAAAAAATTGGTTTTTGGAATAAATTGAGGGTGCAACTAAGCTATGTATTCCTCAGGTTTAGTTGGTTTATATATTTTTGACAATCACTGATGCGCTTTGACCAACCTGTTACATTTGTTTTGTACCAGTGCGAGTTAGTGTTAAATTGGATGAGGTAATCAACTAGAAATACATTTTACGCAAAAATATTTGAATCACGCAGAGACTACACATCTGAACAGTTCGTGTGTACACAAATATCGCTAAGACAGACTAAAAGTGCTCAATTCCTCCTCCCAACACACACACTGGGCGACTACTAAATTACGGAAACCTTTGCTAAATGAAAGGCCTTGAAGGTCCTGATCATGTGAGTAATAGGATGTGGAGATTTTGGGAAGCTGCTTATCGGGTAATTGACTTTTACAATATTTTATCCAGGACCAATGGAGTGCACATCTGCAAAGGAATCTCCATTTACTTATGTAGTGATAAAGGAATATCATGCTCCACTAAAAAAGTAAAAGATTATAGATTGACCTATATGGGCTTTTTCGTGCAAAAGTACCTGTGCCGCTCAGTCAAAACTTCATGATCACTAACATGTCATTTCAATAAAATGTCCACTTGTGCATGGAAAAGCAAATTTACTAGAAGGACAGAGGGATATATAATTATCCTGTTCGACAAATAAACAGCAGAGAATATTATCGTAAAGATAAATCAGTTACTCAGCGCAGTAGCTCATGGTTTGTACTGAAGGGAACATTAATTACCTATTTCTATCACGATCAGTATACAAAAGCTTCATTGTCGTTGAGCTAAAAGATATCGGATAACTCGCCTGACCCATATAGTTTAAAATAACTAGTAACTGGTCTTGCACCGTTTTAGCTGTTATTTTTTACTAAAATACGATACTAATTATTTCTTCATGAGGTTTTTACTAAGACACGTTTGTTCATAAGCTGACTGCCTTCACATTTTTGATCAGGCCCAGAGTCGCCAAATAATGAACGATGGGGAATCTGCTAGGATAACATTTGTAAAATGAATACAAGCTACCAATTTAGCTACCGTCACTATATCCGAACACACATTGCTGAACCACAGCATTACTCCTGGATGTCAGCAGTTCTTTAGAGACAATGATGATCAAACACAGAAAATTGCCTCGATTTGGAGAGATGGGGTTTTCAAGCATAGAGCAAAACTGCTCTCATTAACCCGTTGTAGACCAACCATCTGCCGCGAGACTAACATCACGACGTCGCCAAAGATGGCCAGGATAGTAATAAGCTCCTCTGGATTTCGTTATACGTAAATTGATCATCACTCACGCCACAACTACTCATACACGAACTTCCTAAACCTAACGGCTAATCACCAAGTGAGTACGGGCACGAGCTCTTGCCAGTCTGGTAGAGGCACTTTGCACTTAGGTGCAAAGAGCATAAAATACCTACAGATACTGATTGCCTGAGTATCATCGCGGAGTAGGACAATATTCGCGTACTCAACGTCGAATTCTTCCTACAGGTAAGAAAATCCACAGAACCACTATCTACTTCGATTAGGACTGTTACCAGAATTTCATCAGTAGTAAGGTTGAAGAGGAATGGTGAAATTGGGAAACACTGCCTAACCCCGCTGCTTGAATGGAACAGTGGTAGGGGTTGGTTGTATACACTCACTCTGCCTGACGTTTGTGTACACGGCCTTCAAGGTGTTATCAAACCTTTCAGACATACCTTTCTTTAACGGACGATCCTAGAAAACTGTCCTGTTCAACAAATCGGAGACCGCGGCATCAAAAAACGATTGTTGGCCTAAAAAAAGTATGTTAGAGAATTAAGCTATGTTCAATGAATGCACAACCCGAACGAAAACCGGACTGCTTCTCGCCAGTCAATTTTTCACGGATTCTAAACGGTCTGAGAAGTGCGATAGAAGTTAATAATTTGGGAGCAAAAGGAGGAAAACTTATATCCGATATTCGCTGCATAGAATGCGTAAGCCCTTTTTAAGATGGGAGAAACGACTGCTCGGTTTCACTGTGTCGGGACACTGTTTCTCAAACGTTCCTGAACGACCTAGTCAGTCCTCTAACCAGAAGTCCTCCACCATCCTTAAGAAAGGGCTGCATGTAAGTCATCTAGACCTGGTGGTTTATAGCGCTTTAGGAGTTGTTTACGAAATTGAGAGGACGAAGAGCGGAAGTCCGGCGCTTTAACCGGGTTGGTGGACAGGGAGAGTCCACCTAAGGGAGTTGGAAAACCATGATTCCAAACCAATGGTGCACATGGGCTCTAGTATCCTTAGGGAACAAATGGCGTATGAACCAATCGTTGGCCACCGGCTACCACTGCCTTGTGGATCAGACCTTTAGGTCGAAGGCTCGGGGTGTGGACCCTAAGAAAGCCACCTACTTTGGTTTGGGCACGCGGGCAGTATCACAGTGCTCACACAAATCAAATGAAATTTGTGTGGCGCATATGTATTTGGTGCCTCCTTGTACCAATATCTATGTGTTCAAACAGTAATAAAGGAGTAGAAATTCCTTGCGGACTTCTGCCTCGTTGATCAGTCGTCACCGGTCACGGAGGACAGAAAAGTCTGATAGATGTCACCGGGGTAAGTACTAAGCTGAAGCATAAAGGCGGATGATGTTTAACTCAGTGACCAACAACGATGGAGATAAGCAAGGCATCTCGTCATCAGCCATCACTGGAAAAGTTCGATAGGAAATTCCTGTTTGTTTCGCAGCACACGTGTAGATTTTGACCACGCTTTATTATTAAGCAAACATCTCTATATGTTCAGTCAAGTCGAGAATGAGTTCAAGAATTAGCTAAGCACGTAGTCGAACACGAAGAAAACATTTCTCTCAAATAAGATTTTATTAATATTCAAACAGTTGTAAATGCAGCAGCGA